TCTTTCTTTCTTTCTTTCTTTCTTTCTTTCTTTCTTTCTTTCTTTTTCTTTCTTTCTCTCTGTCTCTCTCTGTCTCTCTCAAAAGTGTTTAATAAAATATACATTTTAAACAAGGTTCAATAATAACAGATCTGGGGTGTACTTAAGGGAGCTTTCAAATTATATGTGGCAATTGTGACAACTAAGTCTAAAATAGACACTTTTGGGCTGCAAACCTCCATATGATCACCAGGTGGAAGCAAAGAACCTGTTCTGGATATCTTTGCCGCCATCTAGTGATTATGTGAAGTTCTGCAGTCCAGATACACTGTGCCTAATATACAACATTGCTTGTGGGCCATATCACAGGTTTAAAATGTAGATAACAGTTTTCCTTTCATTTCTTAAGGAAGCATAGAAAGCCTGAACTGGATGGGGATCCTAGGTGAAGGGTAAAGTAGGAAAGGTACAGTATAAGATTTTCCCTCATTGTAGATTTGATCCGGCTTCAGTATTCATGCTACAACATACCTAACCCTGCCCCCCCACAAAAAAAATCCTGTGTCACAAATGGATCTTCAGGGGAGGATAATGCTGTTTTTAGAGTTTAAAGGCTCAGTCAACCAAGGCAAAGAATTAAAGAAATAAATTTCTCTGTGCTGGTGTGATCTGACTCAAATCCATCCATGCTTCTTTTGAGAAGGGGAAAAACGTATTTTGCAAAATATAAAAGATTTATTGAATGTTCATATGTACCAATCTAAAAAAGGCTTGCTAAAACTGGAATATTTAAAAGTCATTAACAGTACAGCAACCTTGAGATGCCAATGGAAGCTTCAATTTATCTCCATTCCCAGATTTTTGGTTTTAAAAGCGTTTCTTGTAAGAATAGGAACAGCAATCACTTTTGTGGCAAGATGGGGAAAATACCTCTTCAAGCGTGCAAGAACCTAATGTCCACTATTAATTTCCTCAGCTACTGATTTTTTTTTCTTTTTTGCAGAATAACTTTATTCTCCTTCCGTACATTTGGCCAAAAATAGATAATTTGTCCAAAGGCAAGTTGCATTCTACTTCCACTAAGAAAAAGAGAGAGACTTATTAAGTGCCCCCACTCATATTTGTCCTTCCAGGAGCAAAATAAATGTTTGTTTTCTTTTTCCCTTCCTTTCTCCAAAAATGTTAACAGATGGGCACACTTGGCAACTTCCCTGTAAAATTATAGAAAAGCAAGAAATTTTCAGAATTTTCCAAAAAAAAAAAAAAGTCAAATGTCAAATGAAAGTGCTTCTTCTCATAGTCCACATTTAACTTAGACAATCTGCAGTAATGGCCTCTAGCTTGTAATCTGATTTTACAAATCCACGGAGGGTATGTCTCAAGAGCTGCTAGTCACTATATGTTATGTCCAGATTCAGAAAGAGTATACCATCTGCTAGAAGGGAAAAAAAGGAGAAGCTATTGACTTGTGTCAACCTATGGGCTTTCCAATAGCATCTGGCTGGTAATTATGTGGGGTAGAATGTGGAACTGGATGGCTCCTCTAGTTTAAGAAAGCTTGTCTCATAAGTTGTGGCAAATTTCTCCAACCAGCTGTCCTTCAGCTTCCATAATTCCTAGCTGCAGGGTTCTTTCAAGCCTCTGACAGATCCAGGCCTAGAACACTCATTTGAACCCTTCCCATCTGCTGTGTTGTGGGGGGGGCAAGGGGTTAAAAATTCAAGTTAGCAATCACAACTGCATAAAACCTACCTATTTGTACCTGCACATAACACTGTCACACATACAAAAGGGGTGGAGCTTTGGTCACCTAGTCATGATCACCATCTTGACTTTTATGACACCTCCTGCAGATATTCCTGTTTCTCATATAGTTTCTTCTTGGTACATCCTATGTCAGTGTAATTGCTTTCCAATTTTTTCTTTTGTTATGGTTCCGTAAACGGAGAAACCAAAAATATGATAACTCTTGGGATTATATTTTGTTTGCTTTTAATTCAGCCAAAATTCCAAATTCACTGGATGGTTACGAAAGTACTAAAAACAAACCTTCAACAACGAAACAACAGAACCATAAATAGCTGAGCCTCTGTTCTCTCTTATTTTGGTGGTTGCAAATACCAACTTGCAAAGAAAGAGCCATGACAAAGGACCAAGAGCAAGTGCACATTAAAAGCAGGAATGATAATCAGGAATGCTTGTAGGTCCAATTTGTCAAGTTCGAGGCATTCAGCAGAAAAATCCAAAGGGTAATCTATGGTCATAAGAGCCCAGGTCATAACTAGGACTGCTTATAACCGGCTCAGCGTTAGCCAACAGTTGCTGGCAATACTGAAAGACCCAGGTTTAAATACTGTAATAGGAAAGCCTGAGTCTAAACCGCCTCGAGCCCTGTACAATCTTCCACAATTTTGTTCTGCAGGTTTTTAATGTCTAACTAGATAGGCCTGCATAAACAGTGTCCAGCCAAGGTGAACACAACCAAGAAGCATATAGGCCTCTTGATGTCATTACCTGCTCAGAGTTACGAAAACACAAAGGTAATATATGCTTCAGCTTTGTGGACCAGAAATTCTGCAGGATGATTTTGGCTAGAGAAAGGCCATGAAGTCCTTTTCTCCCACAGTCCCTAGCCAGTAGACATGATTGCAGAGGTTATTGGAGGTTGAAATGCAAAACAACCAGATTGGCTATATCTGATCTCAACTGTAATTAGTAGTTTCGTCTGAGGAAAAAGACCACTGCACCCACTAAGCTATCAACAAATAGATGTACTTAAGGCAGTCAACCCATGGTGTGCACCCTGCATGTGGCCCTCAAATGTCTGTCTTAAGACCTACCTGAAGTGACCACAATACTTTCTTCCCACTGCTATTGTGCCCCCAACCACCGGAGGAGGGTTAAGATATTCTCTGTGAGTCCTGTGTGTCTCCACCCAACCTCATCCTTCATTTTGTTTGCCTGCCTCTTTCTGGACATAGACCATGCCCCCTCCTACAAAGAAAGGTAAGGTCTGTGGTGCTTATCATCCCTTGGTTTATTCACCATTTTCTCCCTCAAAGACAGTAGATAAACAGGCAGCAACAGAAAAGAGAAACAGTGGGGCTGGAAAGTTCAAGTGCTCCCTTCCCCAGAGCTTGGGCAATTATATATGTCAAACAATATCATGATACCCTCCCTGTCTGCAGGCATCTGGTAAAGACATGTTGACATAATGCATAATGATGTTATTGCTCATATCATGCAAATTATGTAATTTGCATGATGACATTGTGATGCATGTGATATTGCTAGTTCCCTTGCCCTCCTATGGATGTCCCTTCCCTTCTAATATCAGCAGTTTAACACTCAGGGCCAGGGAAAGTTGGGGTCTCACTTCTAAAAATGTTCTTACAAACCCACAGTACTGGTAATAAGATGAGGACCTCATCTGAGACTGATTGTTCTTGATGCAACCACTTACTCCAATTGCAAAGTAGCTGAGGCATCTATCGTGGTTGCAGGAGCAAGCAGGTATAGAATTAGATTTCACTCTAAACAAAGGCAGATGAAGAGGGATGGAACAATATAGCAGATTAAACATTTTTATTGTGATATATTGATTCCATTCCAGTTCACAAAATACATTTATCTGGATTAAATAATTAGAAAAGCAAATGCAGCCATTATATGCAATCTGATGCCCACATAATGCATCAATGTTAACCTCACTAGGTAGACTAGGCCAGGAAATTCAATCCACAAGAAGACTAAAACTGCTTTTATTGACATTGGCTATAATAACAGAATCCCGCAAGTGTGATTGTGTTGTATCTCCTCCTCCTTCTTATAATTCAGTGAATTAGGGAGGCACCTGCCCAAGCCACTTCCAAATATTATCTTGTTCTGGATGTAAAAAATGCTTCAGCCACCTTTGCCTAGGCAACAGATCTAGCATATCTCCATCAAGATCATCTTCCTTACTCTCTACATAGTTCTGTCACATTTGATGAAGAGGAGCCATACTGCAAAACCAATTCCTGGTTTTATATATACAGTACTAGTATATATAATATACATAGTACTAGTATATATAGTCTTCTATAACCTAAGTCCCTTTAGATGTTTTAGACTACAACTCCCAGAATTCTCCACCAGCAAGGGTAGAAATTCTGGGAAATGTAGATCATTATATCAAGAACCTCCCACAATGTGGAAAATAGGTCTGAAAATCTGATCCAGTGGTTTATGAACCTCCTGCTTCTACTTTATGATGGAGCCTGATGGAGATTCGTCTAGAAGAGACATCACAACGTTTTAAGAATTATTTAAGCTTTTCCCCTGATTCTTTCCTTACTTAGACCCACCTCAGAATCCCCTTGCTATGTTCAATGGCAAAGTATAAAATGAGTTTTTACCCCTGTTGAAATTGGCTTCTATTGGTGTTCAGTCTGATTTGAGTACAATTTCTTTTCAGGGCTTGCTGTTCTAAAGGGCAAAATCTAAAACCAAGGAGCTGATTTTGTATGGGAGTGAGGCCAGAATCCAGACTCTCATCTCATCTCATCTCATCTCATCTCATCTCATCTCATCTCATCTCATCTCATCTCATCTCATCTCATCTCTTGTCCCACATTAGCTCCTGCACATGCAGGCTTATCTGAGCTACCAGATCTGGGCTACAAAATTCCAGAGGACCACAAGATGACAGCACAGAGATACAAAAGAAACCTAATCATCCTTTTGCTGCTATATAATGGTTGTATGGGGTTTTGCGGCATAGATCTGGTAGCCTTAAGCCCTTTTGTTTGCAGCAATGGTTTGTAATAGCAGGAGAGAAGTAGGTGGCAAGGTTAAAAATATGTGCATTCAACAGAAGCTGATAATAATGCTGAATGTTAATGGCTGAATAATGCAGCTTATGCCTCTATGCTGAGTTTCCATTTCATATTGTGCTTATAGGAAGAAAGTGAAGGATTTTCATCAGATTCTTTTCCAGTCTGATAAATAGATGAATTAAACTTATATCTTTCAGGTTGATGTTGATTTTGTTGTTGCTGATTCTTGACTTTTAATATGCAGTGCTTAGTTTTGAACAAGGAATAGTGCACAGAACCTGTGATACTTACAGATGGCTCTAATCTCTGCCTGCCAAAAATATTAGTTGACAGCCAGCTGATAACAATGTCTAAGCCAGAAGTGCATGTAACCTCTAAATTTAGCATCAGCAATGTGACATGCAGATACTAGTTATGTGAAAGAGTAATAGATAATATATAGCATAATCTTACTGCAATTATATTCACTAATAAAACGTATTGGGTCTTACTCCTTTGAAAGTGTATTTACGCTTCCAGGCATATTCTGGAAATGACTGATTCTGCTGGAAAGACCACAATTTTCAGAGATCAACCTCCCATCCACCCCCCTGAATGTTGAGAGAGGATATGTCATAATTTTCCCTGCATTTGGGCGGGGGATACAAAATACATTGGATGGCAACCATTCATAGTAATTCATAATTCATGCTATTTAGTTACATACTAAAACCTAAAATAATTTTAACAACCGGTTATTTGCATTTTATTGCAAGCAATCAGAACTATTTTTATAAGCTACTAGGAAGTCAAATATATGACTTAGGAGTACCATTTCTATCAAAGATTGTAAACTAAAACTCTTTTGAAAAGTCAAACAGATCAAGTAAAGCTATTAACTGTAATTAGAGAATTTTAATCATTTTACTACCAACTTCAGGTTACATTATGTTCCTGACTTAACACTGTTGGCAAAAAAAAAAAAAAATTGGCTTTTTACTATCAGATCAGCCGTACACACAGTCTTTGATCATCTCCTGCTTCAGGTTCCTATATGAATGCCTAAAATGGTCTTCAGTCTTCTCTAAAATACACTTGGTTCTCTTGAGTGCTATTTAGGTGTCAAAATTATATGTATGAAGAAGCTATTCAGTGATGTGTATCTGCATACTCCATCCCCAAACCAAATATGAAGATTTGAAAAGAATCACATCTGGAATCACACTGAACAATTGGAAAACAGGTTTCCATACATACACTTCCAAAATGCCTGAACAAGGCTTTGAATGTCTGATTCCCCTGAAAAGTCATTAGTCTTTTTGGCAGAAAAAACAAAGGTTTACTGAAATGTAGCTATACCTCTTTGTCTTATTGTCCATAAGCCATTAGGGATGCCATAAACATTTGACCAGAGCACTCATAAAAACAAAACACTGGAAAACCTTTGCAAGTATTCTCTAAGCATTAGCACTGAACATTTACAAGAGATCCCTTTGGGGGATAAGCTTTGGAGTGCAGGTACATCCTTATAAATAATATTATATGAAGCATATATGAAAAGTTAATACAATCATCATTATTGTAATCTCCATATTAACACAGTTTACTCATGAAAGGTTTAAAATTGCACATGCTTATAACGCAACAATTACATTAGTTTAGATTTTTGCAATATTCTAAAAATATTCTGCTGGATTCCAATCTCATTCCAATCATCTAAGGGTCACATTGATATTTTTCTCTGTCACACAGAAATGTACCAGTAGAAGAGAATACATGTAGCTCAGGGTTGAACTGTGGAGTCCTTGGGGTTCTCGGAGCTTGGTTGTTTTCTTGCATACGTTTCGTTACCCAGCTAGGTAACATCTTCAATGCTAGAAGGGAGTGGGGTTTGATCTCTGTTTATATACAGTAACTTGCCTGTCAGTGTTGGTGGAGGTGTTGTTTTCTCCTTGGTATTCCTTGATTAGGGTATTGTTTACTGCTTGATTGTCTGTCTGCT